TTACTATTGCAACAAATGTGATTTTTTTTGGACGAATGCTCCGGGCCAGTGGTTACAATGGTGGGGCCAGTGATAATACAATTCCACCGGCCCGGAGGTCCAGTGGCTTTTTACCCTTAATGTCTACCCCTGATAAGATCTCTCAGGTTAAATACAAGATGATGCTAAGCTACATGATGCTAAGCTACCCTTTGTTTCAGCGGAGGATAAGAACACCCAGAGGCATCTCTCCGGCTGGGCGATGAGGAACACCAACAACCACAACTGTCAGATCCTGAAGAAGTCGTGTTTGGGCGTCGTCGTTTGTTCGCGCGGCTGCTCGCTAACCGACGGCTCGCGGCTAACGCTACGACCCGCCATCTGTGACAAGGCCCGGCAGAAACAGCAGAGTAAGAACCAGAACCACAACCACAACTGTTAGAACAAATATAATAACTTGAGCTTGAACCTCAGGATCCATGTATCTGTGATCCTCTCCAGAATGGAAGTAGTCATCACATACAGAGCATCAACTAGTTCCTGAACAGTGTCCTTCACATGCTGATATCCAAGAGAGGGAGTTCCACAGTCACAAGATGGAGGAATAGAAAGCAGTATTCAATGTTTACTTCAGATTAGCTCCACGTCAGAAATGATCATGCTTGTCATATGTCTCTCTCCATAGAGGCTGAATCATCATGTTAATCACATAGCTATCATATGCCTCAAACAGTCCTGATGCTCTTCTAGGTAATCACACATCCTGTCATGTTCACAGCTACAGTTGATACCTTTGTTAGCATGTTGCTCTCATGTTGGAAGAGGACATTCAGTAGTTTCAGCTGAGCGTGTGTTTGTGTTTCAGAGAAGCTGTGTCCGAGCTGCACCGCCACCCTGGAGCTGCTGCCCTGCAGGGGGCACAGCGGGTACCCCGTCACCAACTTCTGGAGGGTGGACGGGAAGAACATCTTCTTCCAGGTCAGCAGCACAGGCTACAGGCTACAGCCTAACATGCTAACAGGCTAAAATGCTCGGAGGGCTACATCTAGATCAGGTTTACCTTGAGCATAAAGACCTGATCCTGGAGCCTTGAAACCATCACAGATATGAAGTTAGACCCCCTGAGACTCTATCTATGAACCCCATCCTCACAGTGTTTTTGTTCCCCGTGTTGCCTCCAGGCTAAAGGCGTCCACGATCACCCCCGCCCCGAGTCCAAGTCTGAGACGGAGGCCCGCAGGAGTTCAGTGAAGAGACGGGTCAGCTCCCCCCCGTTCACCCCCAAGAGACGCCTGATGGACCCTCAGGTACAGCAACGCTAGCTGTTCGTTAGCATTAGCTGTTCGTTAGCATTGTTTACTGTTCCTTTATCAGTCTGTTTCCTGTCTCAGGCCCTTGGTCCCGCCCTCCTCTCCTGTGTTGACCCGTCAGACAGAATCTCCTTCATGGAGCCCAACTACTCGCAGCATTACCCAGCATTCCAGAGCCCGGAGCCCTACTACAACCCCCACAATGCACTGGGAGAGGCTCCTCCCACACTGCAGAAACCAGCCAATCCCAGACTGTACATGAGCCGGCCTGGATACGACTTCCAGGGATACCTGAGCACGCCTTCCTACCCCATGACCTCCGACCTCTGTGACCCCAGGTCAGCCCCCTAACCTGCAGAACCTATAGAACCTATAGAACCTAAAGAACCTGCAGAACCAAAATAACCAAAATAACCTAAAGAACCTTTAGAACCTAAATAACATAAAGAACCTATAGAACCTTTAGAACCTAAATAACCTAAATAACATAAAGAACCTATAGAACCTTTAGAACTTAAAGAACCCAAAGGACCAAAAGAACCCAACGAACCTAAAGAATCTAAAGAACCTAAAGAACCTCAAGAACCCAAAGAACCCAAAGAACCCAAAGAACCCAAATAACCTAAAGAACCCAAATAACCTAAAGAACCTAAAGAAACCAAATAACCTAAAGAACCTAAAGAACCCAAAGAACCTAAATAACCCAAATAACCCAAATAACCTAAATAACCCAAATAACCTAAAGAACCTACAGAGCCTAAAGAGCCTACAGAACCTAAATAAGCTAAAGAACCTACAGAGCCTAAAGAACCTGCAGAACCCAAATAACCTAAATAACCCAAAGAACCTAAATAACCCAAATACCCTAAATAACATAAAAAACCTAAAGAATCCAAAGAACCTAAAGAACCCAAATAACCTAAAGAACCTACAGAACCCAAATAACCGAAATAACCTAAAGAACCTAAAGAATCCAAATAACCTAAATAACCCAAAGAACCCAAAGAACCTAAAGAACCCAAAGAACCCAAAGAACTTCAAGAATCCAAAGAACCTAAATAACCCAAATAACCTAAAGAACCCAAAGAACCAACATAACCTACAGAACCTAAAGAACCTACAGAGCCTAAAGAACCCAAAGAACCTAAAGAATCCAAAGAACCTAAATAACCCAAAGAACCTAAAGAACCCAAAGAACCTAAAGAACCTACAGAACCTAAAGAACCTAAAGAACCTAAATAACCTACAGAGCCTAAAGAACCCAAAGAACCAACATAACCTACAGAACCTAAAGAACCTACAGAGCCTAAAGAACCTACAGAGCCTACAGAGCCTAAAGAACCTACAGAACCTACAGAGCCTAAATAACCTACATAACCTACATAACCTACAGAGCCTACAGAGCCTAAAGAGCCTAAAGAACCTACAGAACCTAAATAACCGAAATAACCGAAATAACAGAAATAACCTAAAGAACCTACAGAGCCTAAAGAGCCTACAGAACCTAAAGAACCTACAGAACCTAAAGAACCTACAGAGCCTACAGAACCTAAAGAACCTAAATAACCTACAGAGCCTAAGGAACCTACGGAACCTAAAGAACCTACAGAGCCTAAAGAACCTGCAGAACCCAAATAACCTAAAGAACATAAAGAACCCAAATAACCTAAAGAACCTACAGAACATAAAGAACCTAAATAACCTACAGAGCCTAAATAACCCAAAGAACCTAAAGAACCCAAATACCATAAATAACATAAAGAACCTAAAGAATCCAAAGAAACTAAAGAACCCAAAGAACCTAAAGAACCTAAAGAACCTACAGAACCCAAATAACCCAAATAACCTAAATAACCTAAATAACCCAAAGAACCTAAAGAATCCAAAGAACCTAAATAACCCAAATAACCTAAAGAATCCAAAGAACCCAAATAACCCAAAGAACCTAAAGAACCCAAAGAACCCAAATAACCTACAGAACCTAAAGAACCTAAATAACCCAAAGAGCCTAAAGAACCTACAGAACCTACATAACCTAAAGAACCTACATAACCTACAGAGCCTAAATAGCCTAAAGAACCTACATAACCTACAGTGCCTAAAGAACATACAGAACCTACAGAGCCTAAAGAACCTACAGAACCTAAAGAACCTAAAGAACCTAAAGAACATACAGAACCTAAAGAACATACAGAACCTAAAGAACATACAGAGCCTACAGAACCTAAAGAACCTAAAGAACCTAAATAACCTACAGAGCCTAAAGAACCTACAGAGCCTAAAGAACCTACAGAACCTAAATAACCTACAGAACCTAAAGAACCTACAGAACCTAATGAACCTACAGAGCCTACAGAACCTAAAGAACCCAAAGAACCTACAGGACCTACAGAGCCTAAAGAACCTAAAGAACCTACAGAACCTACAGAACCTAAAGAACATACAGAACCTAAATAACCTACAGAGCCTAAAGAACCTACAGAACCTAAAGAACCTGCAGAACCTAAAGAACCTAAATAACCTACAGAACCTACAGAACCTAAAGAACCTGCAGAACCTACATAACCTAAGAACCTGCAGAGCCTACAGAACCTAAAGAACCCAAATCAACCTACAGAGCCTAAAGAACCTAAAGAGCCTAAAGAACCTACAGAACCTAAAGAACCCAAATAACCTAAAGAACCTACAGAGCCTAAAGAACCTACAGAGCCTAAAGAACCCAAATAACTGAAAGAACCTACAGAGCCTACAGAACCGAAATAACCTAAAGAACCTACAGACTCTAAAGAACCTACAGAACCTGCAGAACCTGCAGAACCTACAGATCCTGCAACCATTTAAAATAAAATGTGGACCGGGTCAATAATACATATATTTAGATAAACAATGTATTCTAAAAGTTTTGTCACCAGAGACAGCGAGCGCTAAGCTAATATTCGCTAACGTTGTCAAACCCTCCTGTCTGAATGAGTCTGGTTCCTTCAGAAGTTAGAACCCAAAGTAAACGGGTTCTTCTGATTTAAATAAACGTATCACAGAGATGCAGGAATAAAGCCGCCCTGATGTTTGTTTGTTTGTTAGTTTAAAGTCTGCACTCTGTCAGTCTGAGCACAGATCGATGAACGACTGTTTCCTGATTGGTTTGTTTCTCTGCTAACGTTAGCCTCTCCTGGTCCACAGGGTGAATCCGGTCCTCGGCCCCTCCTCTTCCTCATCTTCCTCCTCAGCGCCACCCCCCTGCTCCTCCTTTGACCCCCAGGCTAAATCCCCCCCCGGCTGGAAGGAGCTCCTGAAGACCTCGACCCCCTACAGCGACAACCACCATTACTACAGCGAGTACCCCTGCCGTTACCCTGGCAATGCCCCGGGGTCCCCAGCAGCCCTGCAGACCATCATCACCACGACCACCAAGGTGAGCCTATCAGGAGATAGTAGTAACAACCATGGTGAGCCAATCAGGAGAGAGTAGTAACCACCAAGGTGAGCCAATCAGGAGAGAGTAGTAACCACTAAGGTGAGCCAATCAGGAGAGAGTAGGAGTAACCACCAACTGAGGGTCCAATCAGGAGAGAGTAGGAGTGTCCACCAAGGTGAAGGTCTAATCAGGAGAGAGTAGGAGTAACCACCAAGGTGAGCGTCCAATCAGGAGAGAGTAGGAGTAATCAATAAGGTGAGCGTCCAATCAGGAGAGAGTAGGAGTAATCAACAAGGTGAAGGTCCAATCAGGAGAGACTAGGAGTAACCACCAACTGAGGGTCCAATCAGGAGAGAGTAGTAACCACCAAGGTGAGCGTCCAATCAGGAGAGAGTAGGAGTAATCCAGAAGGTGAGCGTCCAATCAGGAGAGAGTAGGAATAATCAACAAGGTGAGCATCCAATCAGGAGAGAGTAGGAGTAACCACCAACTGAGGGTCCAATCAGGAGAGAGCAGGAGTAATCAACAAGGTGAGGGTTCAATCAGGAGAGAGTAGTAACCACCAACTGAGGGTCCAAACAGGAGAGAGTAGGAGTAACCACCAAGGTGAGGGTTCAATCAGGAGAGAGTAGGAGTAACCATCAACTGAGGGTCCAATCAGGAGAGAGTAGTAAC